TTTCCACGTACATCTCTTGGACAGGCTGCGATGCGCCACGTAACACTTTCTCTATCACGTTGGAGCTGAATTTATTCATGCAAAGTTGAACTAAATGTGGAAGAAATGCAATTGCAATCGTGTCAGTTGTTTTACTATCGTTAGACTCCAAAACGTATTGCAAGACATAGTTTCCAAAAGGATCCTCCGCAATCTGCAAGCAGCAGCGCAGTATTTGATTTACTAGAGTTGCCCTTTGTGAACAAGACGCATACTCAAGACACCGCTGAAGAACACAACATCCCTGCTTATTTTTGGCAATGGAAATGCAGTCCGATCCCACCGCAGCGTAAATAAATTCCTTATCCGCGTGACTGAAGCGTTGCAGCACTTTTTGAATGACATGATTTCCATGGGCATCCTTAACCAATCGAACAACATCCTTTGACAAAGCCTCCCGCAGAATATCCATTTCTTCACGTGAGGCAATGGTTTCAACCATTTTCTGCACGCTGAATGTCCCATGCGGTGTGAGCGCAATGGATATAATTTTTGGAGCAGCAACACATGCCACCTTGTAACGCACATCCTGAGGCATCATGTCAAAGAGCTTTTGAATAAGAAAATTAGCGTATTGATCTATCATCAACTCCGCTACATGTGGGACAACTTCGTTCATAATGATACGGACAAATTCTCCATCTCCGTTTGACCCTCCTAATAGACGTTGAAGAAATCGACATCCATGTTGATCCTTTGCTATCTCATACACAGAACCTCGCAACCCCTCCGGGGTGATGTTGCCGCTATACCCACGCACTGCAACGTGTGAATGATGCGGATTAACGGCATGACCATTCCATTCCATATGGTGAGCAGCACCCCTGTCTTTCTCTCTAATTGCAACATCATCCATCGGTATGATCATATGTAGGTTGCTATTCTCAGGAACATTTGTCTGCGATACTTGTGTGGGTGTTACCCCCCGCTTTCCCATTGGCGATGAGGCGGCGTACGAGGCGGTCGCGGCCATATTCTTTGGTGACGGTTCAAAAGGTGGCGCATCAACTCGCATCATACTCGGTTGAGAAGAATTTGCGACTTGAGGCTGACTAAATAGGCCGTTTGGGATGGAAAAACTAACAGGCGTGTGGGTACGCTTCCATGAAACATTAGAACTGTGCTTGTGCCCGTTAAGTGGCGTGCTTTCGGTAGAATTCATGGAAGGTGTCGCAAAAACCTGCGAGCTCTTCGTATAGACGCCTATCGGCTTGGCCGTCTTGTCGTCATCACCGTTCAACCCGCCTTGAAGAACTCCCGAAAATTTCACTTCAGTGCTTTTATACTCGTCCTCGTGCACGGTCCACATCGACTGTGCGAACGTGAAAAGAAAGGAACAGAGTACGGAAATAAATAACTAAATAAATAAATAAATAAAATTAAGACAAAAAAAAAAAGAGAAACAACTAAAAAAAAAGGAAAAAA